GCATTACACAGTATTTAAAATGTCCCGTGCAAGCATTAAATGCTTTCTTTTTCCTCTTTAAAATAGCACAGAGATAGCTAATCTACAGATTTCTGTGCATATCTGTTTATTTATCAGTTAGATGTTAACATTAGGAGCTTTGGGAGCAATCTGAGAGAGCAAGTCAAGAAGAAAAAAGACAAGAGAAACCCAAACATGATGAGAGAAGTTGGAATCGGCTCTGAATGAAGAGAGAGTTTGAGAGGGTTTCTTACATTAAAAAGATGCACAACTAGCACTTCAGATAGATGCAAACTCTGGACATTTCTGGCTTTGAGATTTGCTGTATGCAATCATTTAATTTTCAGTGCAGACAATGCACATCAGGCATTCACTAATGCAGTTTGGTCATTTACATTTCACTAATATGGAACATTATTCAATGTCTCTATTAGCAGCGGATGCATAATGTGAATAAATTATTGTGTTTTGCAACTGTTATTCCTGCTGGTGCACTGCAAAAAAAATAATTATAATAAAATAAAAAATTTTAAAATAAATAAAATAAAACAAAATAAAATACAATACAATAAAAAGGTTTTTCTTACTTAGACATTTGTCTCGTTTCTATTCTAAATATCAAAAATTCCTAAATGAAGAGGCATTTTCTTAATAAATAAAATTCTTAATAAAAAATATTGTTTCAGTTTAGATATTAATGTCAAAATTAAGTTTTCTTCCCCTTTAAACAAGTAAAATTGAAGTAAAAAAAAATTCAGTTTCAAATACATTTATTTTACCTCTTCCACTGGTGGATTCTTTTAATTATTTTAAGGAAATAAGACTATCTGGACAAGAAATCAGACAAAAACTAAATAGACAAAAGACAAGTAGGAAAATTATTATTTTATTTATTCTATTTATTTTTTAAGTGTGACAACCTGGTATTTGTTTATAAATTTATATTTTCTTTTTTTAGTTTTTTTTACATAATACTTTTCATGTAGTGTGTAATGTAGCTGTTTGTGAATCTGAAAGCTCTGCAATGTTTTAAGGTTCAAATTTCACAATAAATAAAATAAATTCTCCCAAAATATTGTATTGATTTTGTGCTGCCGAAAACAAGCAGTCAGCAATTTAAGTTTCACTTCCAAAATTGATTTATATACTGTGGATCCATTATACATTTGCATAATGCCAGCTTATTGCATGCACTGATCTGTTGCCATCCCTGCATTATGCATCCCTGCTATCCCATTATGCATCCCTGAATTTAATTTAATTTATTAAATTTAAGTATTTATTTTTTATTTTTTTTATTTAATTTTATTTAATTAAATTTTATTTTATTTAAAAAAAATATAATTTATTTGTATTTAATTTAATTTAATTTAATTTAATTTAATTTTATTTTATTTTATTTTATTTTATTTTATTTTATTTTATTTTATTATTTAATTTAATTTAATTTAATTTAATTTAAATTTTATTTTATTGCTGCAGCAGGAATAAAAAATTGCAAAACACAATAATTTACTCACATTATTATAAAATATAATTTTATTATATTTTATTTTATTTTATTTTACTGCACCAGCAGGGGTAAAACATTATGCATTAGTGCATTTAATTTATTTATTTTTTTCTTTCTTTATTTTTTTTTTTCTTTGTTTTATTTTAGTTTGTAAATTTATTTATTTATTTATTTATTTATTTATTTATTTATTTATTTATTTATTTATTATTATTATTATTATTATTATTATTATATTTTATTGCAATAGCAGGAATAAAAGTTGCAAAACACAATAATTTATTCACAATATTCATCCCTGCATTTTATCTAACACATGGTTTTGAGTTTTTATTCATACAGGAACCACAACTTCGTATTTCATAATTTCAAACTTCTCTGTTTTTATGGCCGGATCATTTTTATCCACTCTTGGACACATTTTTAGTTTTAGCTGGCTTTTGTTAGTCTAAAATGTGTTAGTGTCGCTTCCAGCACAGTAATAAAACACACTGAAATATCAAGATACTGCAGTTCCTGTTCTCGTCAAGACAAACAAAACATTCATGTAATATTTAAAATGATGGAATCAGTATAAAACGACAGGAGGAAAATCCCATCTCATCTATCCATCTTTCTGCATCCAGCCACAACAAATGACAACACGCTTTAACAACAGCTGGTTTCTGGTTTCTCATCCAGGCAGCTGTATATTAAATATCAAATATCTGGGAATTGGCTGTGATGCTGCAACTTTTTTCTGTTTTTTATTTGCTCAGTAAACAAAAAACTTTGAGGGTAGTGACACCAAGATCAGCATTTTATAAATTACTATAGTTTCTAATAATATTGCAAAAATTGTTTTTATTGGAAAATGCACATTTGTCCAACAAATAATAATAATAATAATAATAATAATAATAATAATAATAATAATAATAATAATAATAATAATGTACAAAAAATAATAACGCAAATAATAATAATAACAAATACATAGACTAAAGTTTATTAAATATATAATAATATAAAAATATGTACAATAATTATAATAATTCAAATAATGATGCAAATAATGCAAAATAATAATAATCCAAATGATAATAATAAATATTAACAAAACATTAATTAAATTAATAAAATAAAATATAATAGCAATAATACATATGTACAAAAATAATAAAAATAATAAATATATATTATAAAACAACTGAAATTAAATAAATAATAATATATGTGTTTAATATTAATAACAATTATAAAAATAATAATAATAATAATAATATAATAAAAATAATAAGCATAAGAAGTAGAAGAAAAATAATAAATTTGTACAATAAAATAAATTAAATGTTATTATTATTATTATTATTATTAGTAGTAGTAGTAGTAGTAGTTGTAGTAGTAGTAGTAGTAGTATTAATAATAATAATAAATATGTACAATACAATAAATTAAATTAAATAATATTAATAATACAAATATTAATAATATATACAAAAAGTATATACAATAAAATAAATGAATAATAATATAAAATTTTTACAAATAGTAATAATAATAATAATAATAATAATAATAATGATAATAATAATAATAATAATGCAAAAAATTATGCAAATAATAACTACGCAAATTAATAATAATGGAAATAATAACAATAAATATGTACGAAAAATTCAATTAAAAACTAAAATAATAAAATGTCCAAACACATGTGGTTATGGATGAATTTGGTAAGCTAAATTGACGGTAGTGTATGAGAGTGTGTGCAAAAGTGTGTCGGCGTTTCCTAGTGTAGGGTTGTGTCTGGAAGGGCATCTGCTGCGTAAAACATGTGCTGGATAAGTTGGCAATTCATTCCACTGTGGTAACCCCTGATTAATAAAGGGACTAAACCAAAAAGAAAATGAATGAATGAATAAATACGTATAATAAAACAGATTAAATTAAATAATAATATTGATAAATATGTACAATAATAATAATAATAATAATAAGAAGAAGAAGAAGAAGAAGAAGAAGAAGAAGAAGAAGAAAACAAATAATAAATGCAAACAATAAAATAAATAATAATAATAATTGTAATAATAACAACAACTATAAATATGTACAAAAAATAATAATAACAAGAAAACCAATAATAATTAATATGTAGAATAAAATAAGCTAAATAAATGAAAATAATATAAAATATGTTTAATAATAATAATAATAAATGTGAACAATACAAACAATAAAAATAAACTAGATTAAATAATAATAGTTCAAAAAAATATAAATAATAACAATAATAATAAATAAAATATTTTACTGTCAGCAATGAACCTACTGTATTGGAATTATCTGCAGATCTGCTGTTGTGGCACTTACTGTAATCATGTGTCTGTTTTCCATTGCAGTGCTGTCGAGTGGGTCTTAATATAATACGTCAATGGGAATTGTTCTACTGCACTGCCATGGTTGCAGTTAGTACATATACAGTAAATCAGAGTTAAATGTTGTCCTGACTCGATGACTCAGTATTTCTCCTGTTTTTCATGTCAGTAAATTGGATTAAAAACATGGAGACATTTGTGTTTTTTAACAGAGTTTTGTGGCTAGATACTCAAAAACACAGCTAGTCTGAACTTGTGCTGCACTCCTAACTGATGAATGCTGAAAATAAATTAAAAAATAAAATAAAATAAAATTTGTTAAAATTAAAAATTGTATATAATAAAAGTACATAAATAAATAAATAAATAAATAAATAAATAAATAAATAAATAAATAAATAAATTAATTAATTAATTAATTAATTAATTCATTCATTAATTCATTAATTAATTCATTGATTTAATTAAATTAAAATGAAACACCTGAAAGAACTAAAAAATATCAATAAAAAATAAAAAATTAAATTTTAATAACTTAAAAAATAATAATAAAATTAAAATAAACCTTAAAAGCTCTAAAAAATATAAAAATTAAATTAAATTAAATTAAACTACACTAAACTAAAAAATTAAAAATTAAAAAATAAAGAAATAAAAATAAAATAAAATTAAATTAAATTAAATTAAAATAAAATAAAATAAAATAAAATAAAATAAAATAAAATAAAATAAAATAAAATAAAATAAAATAAAACAAAATAAAATAAAATAAAATAAAATAAAATAAAATAAAGTAAAATAAAATAAAGTAAAATAAAATAAAATAAAATAAAATAAAGCAAAGCAAAGCAAAGCAAAGCAAAGCAAAGCAAAGCAAAGCAAAGCAAACCAAAGCAAACCAAAGCAAAACAAAACAAAATAAATAAATACAAATAAAAAATTCTAGAAAAAAAAAAGAAATGTACTTTATGGTATACAAATGAAATATAAATAATTGAAATTAAATGATGAAATAAAAAGTAGTAATTATGAATGAAAACTCAAATCCATGTGTTAGATTATGTGTAGGGAAAATGAATTGCCTAACCCTGAACTCTTTAAATGTGATATATATATTGACTGTACAGCACCTTCTTGGTCTTGACGGTGGAATGGCAGCAGTCTCCTCCATCATAGTTGCAGTAGGCTCTGTTGTTGATGGCGTCACAGTAATTATCACCCATGAAAGGCTGAGATGAAAAAAAAGACAGAAAGAGAAACTCAGAGCAGCAGCTAACATACAGTGTGCAGATGTACATTTACTGAATCTGACTGGGTTTACTACGCTATTATATTCAATGTTTCAGTACTTCCAGTCTTATGTAATCTACAGTTAAAGACCAAATTATTAACCCTCCTGAAGAGATTTTAATTATTTAAAATAAATTATATATAAAAGTCCCGGCATTGTATGTTTTATGCTATTTTATCATAATTTAGAAAGTTAATCAGATTTCCACTTATTTATTTTTTTTTTTTCAGACAAATTTTGATTTGATGTTTTAAGTCAGCTAAATTGATGCATGTTAAAAGACTTAATTAAAAGACTTAATGGGTTAAATTGTTAAACTTAAAAAATTAGGTGAGCAACATATTTTTTGTGTATTATCATAGCGTTGCTTTATTTTGAGAGCAAAACTACTGTAATGAATATCTGTTAATGAACAGCTTCTGTATTTTGTTTTCTGTATATTTCTGGTTGTGAATTGCATTATGGGATCTTTATCTCTGTTATGTTCATTTCTGATGTTGAAAATTCAACTCTACAAGTGGCTTTTATTGTCATTTCAGTAGTTTAAAATAGTATACAATATAGCAATTTTTAATATATTTTTATATAATAATAATAATAATAATAATAACAGCAATAATTAATATGTGCAAAAAATAAAATAATAAAAATACATACAATAAAAGAAAATAAATAAATTTATAAAAATATTAGTAGTACCCCTTTTTCCAAAAAATAAAAATAAACAAATTAGGTAAATTCCTACCAAAT